GCTTACAGTGGCCAAAGTTGAGAGACGCTGATTTAAGTAAATAAATAAATCAACATTTATATTTTGCTCTAGGCCTACTCAGTGCTTTTAATTGTATCTGAATTTTAGAGTTAGAAACTAGGAGTCTAAAGGCAAGATTTCTAAGCAGCTGTTATAAAACAGCCCTTAGGGGTCTGTTTGGGTCCCCCCCCACTTTAGTTAAATTTTAGGAAGGCAATGGACACACCGCTTAGGAATTCAGCCATGTGGGCTGCCTTTAGCCGGTTGGGAGATAATATGCTTCCATTTCAAAAACCAATTCTACATTTTTAATTGGTGGGTTTTTAATTTCTGCGGAAGCATGAAACGGTTTCTCTCCACTGTGCCTTTGTTGTAAACCACGCTAAGTCTGGTGCTAGGCCAGCCTGCCATTTTTGGTGATGAAAAAAAACCCTAAGTATTCTAACACATTTGCAACATCCTTTGATTTTTCTATCATGGATAATGGCTCCATACAGGATTTTTATTCAGTGCATTGATTAATCAAAACAATTCTTTGGGCTATTAAATATTTAAAGGTTTAATCAATTTTTGTTTGTTTAATAATATGGATAATGGCTGTCCTGAATTGCACGCACACACATATATAATACATGAGCTCAAATTTACGCAATGAGGCTCTGCAGCTATTCACCTGCATGTACACCTGGAGAGTATAAATTTATGCATGGTCACGTGGCGAGGTCTCCTCCTTTGCATAGCCCCGCCCCCAGACGCTCGCGGAGCCGCGCGGGCCAATCAGGAAAGGCTCCTCCCCGGGCGCCGCGGAGGCGGGACGGGGCGTAGGCCTCCGCGGCTCCCACCAATCTGCCGCCAGCCCGGGGTAGTCCGCGGGCGCTGATTGGCCGGCGCATCCCCAGCGCGGCGCCGGCAAGGAGGCCGCGGCCGATTCCTTTCCCCTCAGAGCAGCGGCGTGAGCGTCAGGCCGGGCAGGCGAGGAGGTGGAGGTACTGCCGCTCCTGCTCCCTTCGCTATGGCTTCGTCTTCCTGGGCTCCGAAGGTGAGGCGGGCCCTGAGGTGACCTTGGCTTCTCCCTCAGAGGGACTCTTCGCGGCCGGGGGGGAATCCCCTTGGAAAGTCTCGCGAGCCTTTGACCGCTCCTCCCTTCCCGGGCGGGTAGGACATTCCGTGGCTCCCGCTCGGCCGCCCTTTGAAGGGGACGCCCTTGGAGCCTACCGGGCTCCCGAATCACAACTCCCGGCAGGCCTTTCCCTGGGGCCGCGCGGGGGTTGCTGGGACTTGTAGTTCAGCAGCGGCTCGAGTCAAGCGCGAGTCTCCGGCCCTTCCGGTGGAGCTGAATTACCTCTCCCAGCAGCCCCCGCGGCAGGGCCGAGAGGTCGCTGGAAGTTGTAGGCCAGCACACCTGCAGCCAGGTGGCAGCCGCTGCCCTTCCCTTCGCCCTGCTGGAATTCTGGCTTGAATCCTCGCCCCTTATTTCTGCCGCTGCCTTTGCTGGCTGCATCCTCACAACAACCCCGTGGGGTAGGTCAGGAGGCAGGGCTGGCTTGCAGGATCCCCCCCTCCGCCTGCACTGGGGTTGAGCGGTGGGCTTGAGCCCACTCTTTTGGGAAAGCGTTCCTGATATTTCCAGGCGTATCATTCTCTGGCAGTTATTATTATTATTATATATATATTTATCCCGACTTTTATTTATGTATGTGTATATGTATACACACACATAAACAAATAAAAGTATATATATATTATATTTATATTAAATCTGTTGGTATAAGTTATATTTTTACCACATCTATTTTATATATATCACTCATAGATAACTAATATTATTACCATTTTCAATTTACGGTGATCACCTGGTAAAATGCATGACAGGCCACCGATTCTTGGAAGGTTTAGGAGGTTTTGGGACATGCCAGCTGGATTTAGCTAGTGTAACAAGCAGCAACGGTTTAAACTTGTGTGTACGTATTTCCCATCTCCCTCGTTTAAAAAAAAATATATTATTTGTTTATTAAATTTGTATGCCTCCCAACGACTCTGGGAGGCTCACGAGTAAAATCCTTAAAAAAAGAATACAATCGGAAACAAAAATAAGGAACGAAGAGAGTCAGTTGACAACAACCAGGCTGGAACAGAAGGAAGAATCCAAGGGGGCTCCCCTCACCCTTGCTAAAGGCCTGGGAGAAGAACCAGGTCTTCAAATTCCTCTGAAACTCGAGTACTTGGAAGAGAAAAAAGATCTTCCAATGTCTTCTAGGGCAGTGTTCCTCAAGCTTGGCAGCTTGAAGAGGTGTGGACTTCAACTCCCAGAATTCCCCAGCCAGTGTGCCAAGCTTGAGGAACACTGTTCTAGGATGGGATGTACGTACCTTGTGTCTGGGTCCTGGCAGGGTTGCTGGGGTTCCATGTATGCATCCTTGACTTATTTCTCTGCTCTTTCTGATAGCCCAGAGGAGGTTAACAGCACTCTTACCCTTGTAATGGCGCTGCAAGGGTGGGCAGAGCTAAGAGCCAGGCAGGTGATGCCTGTCTTGGTGTATTTTCACTTTCTGGCATGTTCTGAAAAAGTGGTTTCTGTAGGAACATCTTGACAGCTTTCATTGGTACCAAATTCCTATTTGGTGAGTACACGAAGATTTGTTCCTAAAAATGATGTGGAACTCCCATCCGCTTTGCTTCTTTCTGCTTGATATTGCCCCTACTAGGAAGAAAAAAAAATAATATTGCAAGGCTGTTTCTGATAACAATGAAAAGCTGCAGGGCAAGGGCAGAATTCCATGCAGGTGAGTGAAAGGGTGCATACAGGAGAGAACAGTACCTCTGGCCTCCTCTTAGTTTGCTTGATTTTCAGGCTAACTGCAAACCCCGCTGCTTGGTTCTGCTTCTGAGCTGATTTGTTGAGCAGAAGGCAGAATTGATCTGAGCTTGATTTTCAAATTTTGCTGATCTGCTAAAGAGGCCAGTGTCCTATAATTTCCTACTCTCCATGGAAGAGTGGGGGTAACGCTAAAGGATTGCAGTGTAAATCAAAAATCTGGGAAGCATCTGCAAATAAGGTAAGAAGGTTTAAGCTCTTGGGGGAAGCACTGTGCTCACCAGAAACAGTTAACACTTGAATTGTGCTGAGTTAGTAGTGGTATCGGCTGTTCTTGCTCACCAGGATTAAATGTGACAAGACACATTTAATCCTGGTCTTCACAGCCAGGCCGTTTCTACTTTGCTGAGGGACAGAGTTCTAATCAGAGCTTTCCATGGTGTGATCAATCATATAACAAGGGTTCCTTTGATTATTTAAGCCTCTCACTTGCTTTAGGATGATCATCACTGTTTTTAAGATTTGCAAGGAGCATTTTGGATATGTTATTGTGTTCTTTCATGATTAAGTAACTGCCAGTTTCCTGAGCTAAAGCTCCATGGTGGGATCGTGTTGTTCAGGAAGAGGAAGAGGTTTGCTGCTTCAGATCACTGAGACATTGTTGCCCACGGTCACCACAAGCAAAAACAGATCCAGAAACCCACAAATACCTTCCACAGGGAAGCACAAACATTATCTAACAAGACCTTTTATGTGGGGCTCTTTCAAGCACCATCAAAGCTACTTTTTAAACTCTGCATTTGAGAAAGCTGGATGCAGTTCTTCTGGTGCAAAGAATAAGCACAGTTCTTACCCATATGTAAATCTGCCTTCCTGCTCCTTTGCTCAGGGACTGTAGTTCAGTAGACGCATAGCACGTACGTGCACAGCAATAAACAAGATTGAATGCTAGCTGTACATAGTTGCTTTAGAATGCAGCGCTGATTTAGTATAGCAGATACTTTCTCTTACTCTGGTTGCTAAAATTAACCATATTCTTATTTTCATTGCTATAGGTCTTTCGTTTACTTGGGGGGTTCAAAACTCAAAAACAGGTGACCAGAAATTTTGCTAGTACTGTGAGTATACGAGTGTGATTTTCCCCCCCTTTTTTAAGATACTTCTCAAGAGAGTTGTAGAATATCAAAATAAGATCAATGTTGTATCAATTAACTTCTCCTTTGTTAATGGTGAACTTTAAATTGGTACCAAGTATGGTATGTTTAATTTGAGTGTCAAGATCCATGCAGTTACACACTAGGAGAGACATTTAAAGATTTAGATATCTGGGTTTTGTTTTGTTTTTTATCTCGACTCTCTAGAAAAAAAAATCTGAGAATGTTTCTGTATAAATTAATTTGTATTTAAGTGCTTAAATTATCCAGCTGAAAGGTGGAAAACCTGAACAGGAGAAGTAAGCTGAGGACCTTCTGGGCCGTTTTTTAATATTTCCTACGGGCAGTAAGGGGGGAGGGATTGAGGACTCCACCTCTAGTAATTCCTTTGCTTTTTTTTACCCTATTTTTCTGTCCACCCACACTCCCAACATTACTCATTGATGATTCATGGCATTCATGCTTTTCTCTACATAATTAGTATTTTACAGATCTTTGAATCTGTAATCAAGTTACCGCTTTATATTATTTTTGGATTTGCTGCATATATAGGGTTGGTGCATGAGTGATTTAAAAAACTGGCAGAATCAAAATCTAGAAACCTATTTAAAAAGAGTCTGAGGTTGCTTTCAGTAACAGATACTCAGTTTTATTTTCCCCTCTTCTGTTAGTTTCGTTCACACTGTAAGATAACATTTTAAAGCGGTGTATTTCAAACTTGGCAACTTTACGATGTGTGGAATTCTGGGAGTTGAAGTCCACACATCGTAAAGTTGCCAAGTTTGAAAAACACTGCTTTAAAGCATCTTGGTTATATACCTTCTGGAGGGCGGAAGGAAGAGAGATTAGTATCATTTCCTGCGTCACGCAGAAAGCGTGTGGAAGAATTCTGCTGCTTAATGTGGTAAGTGCTAGGCACATGCAAAGTGTTTCAAGCATGAAATTGTCAAAGTGTCCTGTTTGAAAACAAAACCTTCTGTTTCAAGCCCAAAATGCTTCCAGAACACTTGAAACAATCCAGATCATATTTAAGACAGCAATTTTGCATTCAGAATTGGGCACTCTGCAAAATGCTGTGCTTCAGAAATGAAACATTTTGCACACTGCATGTAACGGCCAAGCAGGGTCAGCTTTTAGGTAATGTGGGGAAATAGGCATTTGCTCTGTGTGGTTCTTTTACCCTCAAAGCAGTGGATCTGAATGGCTAGCATGAACAGATTTGTACTCTAAGCGTGTCACAAAGCTTGCTAAGTTTTCTTGGTAATCAGGCCAGTCTTTTCACTTCATCATTTACAGTAGGAGTGGGCAACTCGAGAAAGCAAACTCTTTCACATCATAATCTGAACCATTTTCACACTGCAAAGATGATGTCTGAATTCTGTATCCATAGAAAGCTAGCACGTCAGGGAAACCCAAGAAGCTAAAAGGGATATTATCATCCCATCGCAGCTTTGGCAGAATAAAAATGCAGAGAAATCACATGGCATCAAAATAACCTGGAGGTTTCTTTGAAACCATCTTTAATAATAACATCTGGTGGTTGAGGGTTTTTTTTTCTTTTCTTTCTTCTTTACCTCTAGTCTCAGACAGTAACGTTGATCCCAGGAGATGGCATTGGACCTGAAATATCTGCTGCTGTGGTGGAGATTTTTGAAGCTGCTAAGGTAAACCTCACCACGAATGGTTTCATTCCTTATGAACAATGATGGCGTTATCCTTTTATAGCAGTCTCCTGCTCGATGCTCTGGAGATGTGTTAAAAAGTGCAACATTCTGAGGACAGCCGCGAGGGGTGGGTGATTTGGGAGAGAGCTAAAGGGGAGATTTTGAACAGCAGTAACCTGAAGAAGGATCAGTGTGTCTGGGGAGAACTCTTATTAATGGGGAGCAGTGGCATTTGAAGCGATAGATGCCATCACACTTGGAGTCATAACCTGCACATTGTGATTTAACGCCATGATCTTTGTTCAGAGCTTTGGCTGTTTGTGTGATCTCATCCCACATTTGGTGTATGCAGTAGTCATGGTGAGCTGAGCTGTAACTGCAACAGTAATAAAATGTGTTCCCTGCATGGCTGATGCATGTTTTTAGTGCTCTCTGCTCTGGGTTGTGGTTTTGGCATTTGAAGAAACGTGAATTTTGGTTCTCTGCTTTCTCCACCCTTGTAGGTAAAGGCTAGATCCATATTTCCAAGAAAAACGAGTAATAACATGAGTTGTTATGTGATACAATGCCATAATTGAGATTAGACAGTGCACCAAGACATAGTAACCGCTGATGTAAACAAAGCATTCCAACATTATAGTTGCATCAGACTTCAGAGCAGTATAAATAAATGCAGATCTCTGCTTCTCCCTTCTGCATTGCTTGCAGATTTACTGCATTTATGCTACTCCTTTTTCCCTTAGGGAGGTCACTATGGAGTTCAGACAGTGCCTCTACTACCAGTAATTCTTGCCTCTAAATTTAGATGTAGGAGAGAGGGGAAAAGAAGAAAGATGAGGCATTGGTGCAAGGACTTTGTTTTGTTTACATCTCACTCAGCATCCACACGGTCCTTCCAGACCTCCGAGCCAAGCCACATACGCTTCTTGAAAAGAGGGCTGCTACTCCCCGAGGGAGAGCACCTACCAAGCAGAACCCATTTCGATTTAGATAAGGGTCTTAGATAAACCTACTTCAATTTCTCAGAATTCTTGGATTGATTCCAGGGCATTGTGGAGAGGGCAGACAGCTGTTCTGGTCAACGAAAGGCGCTACAGATTTCCTGTGGCTGATAGCAGCAGAGAAATGGGAATTTGTTCCCCACAGTTTGACTTATCAGCTGGGAAAAATGGGCAGAATGGGTTGAGAACCACGGGTTTCCCACATTACGGATGGTCAGAGATTCCAAGGTTTTTGACAAAATCCATTCAGCTGTAGATTGTCTTTCTCCATCTCGGAAGATAATGCCCCCCCGCAAAAAATGTGTTTAGGTCCCTGTTCAGTTTGAAGAACGAATCGTGACTGCGATCCAAGGACCTGGAGGGAAGTGGACGATACCACAAGATGCCAAAGAATCTATGGACAAGAACAAAATAGGATTGAAAGGTACTTCGGATACCTCAGTTGATGGAAAGAGAACAGCCAGGTTTTGCGGCCATTCGGGAAATCAGCCTGTGCTTGAATTACTCTGTATAAAGTTTTGATATATGCCAGCAAGTTCGCATTACTTGTTTTTTTTAAACCACGTCTCAGTGTGTTCGTAAAGAATATTGTTACTTGGTTCACAGCCAGTTTCTAAATGTTGTGCTGCAAACGAGCAGTTCCCCACCTCTTTTTCAGGCCCTCTGAAAACTCCCATAGCTGCTGGCCACCCATCCATGAACCTACTGCTCCGTAAAACGTTTGACCTTTATGCAAATATCCGCCCTTGCGTGTCCATTGAGGGCTACAAAACCCCGTACACCGACGTCGATATCGTCACCATACGAGAGAACACGGAAGGCGAATACAGTGGCATCGAGCACGTGGTACGTGGATAGAGTGGGCGAAAATCAGATGTTTTCCAGCCACCCCACATCACAGATAACACAGGTGGCTTGAATTTAAGAAAATACTTAAACGAATTAACTTCTAACCACAACTGACCTTTCTTTTATGGTCATGTTTTCTGTAACTCCCCTTTTTTCGCTGCTTGCCTAACCGTTGTGTGTCTTTCAGATTGTTGATGGCGTTGTGCAGAGCATTAAACTCATCACGGAGGATGCAAGCAAACGAATTGCTGACTTTGCCTTCGAATACGCCAGAAACAATCAGAGGAGCAAAGTTACGGCTGTGCATAAAGCTAACATCATGTACGTGGCGATAACGCGGCTCCAGCCCTTCCAGCTCCATTATTCCAGTTTTCAGAATAAAACCCAATTTTCACTAAAAACATTTTGATAACCCATGTGATGCAATTTAATTATGCAACATGCGCCTAAAAACGTCTCTTAAAATAATTAAGCTTGATACTAATAGCTAAATCTGGAGTTCTGAATTGTATTCTTGGGTAACAATCCAGCGTGGAATTAACACAGCAGCTCATATCCTCGTATCTTAATTGGGGCACATAGCGTAACTCTTCATGAGGTGCTGGACTACAAATTCTGTCATAGGCCATGCTGGACCAAGGGGATGCGATACTTAGCCCAATACATCTTTGTCTGTCTGGATATAGTCACCATACCTGTGATTACTATGTAGTGGTCACAAATGTGGGACAGGCAGCTATACAAATTGAATAAATAAACGAATATCCCTGTTTGCATGCCGAGACCTCTAACCTGTGTTGCTCTTTTTAATACGCAGGCGAATGTCTGATGGCCTGTTTCTGAAAAAATGCAGGGAAGCAGCAGAAAACTGTAAAGATATAAAGTTCAACGAAATGTACCTCGACACTGTGTGTCTGAATGTGAGTATGTAGCGTATAGTAAGTCATTTAAGCAACCGCTGTTCTGGTTATGTTAGAAACCACTATTACTTGCCTTTTGTTTTTTTCTTTAGATGGTGCAGGATCCATCTCAGTTTGATGTCCTTGTCATGCCAAACTTGTATGGGGACATACTTAGGTAAGTAGCCTTGAGTTGGTTTAAAAGAATGCATTTGTGCATTGCAGGAATTCACAAGATTTAATCGTTCCCGCTCACGCTCCCAGAATGGCATACAAATTGAAAATCAGCAATTGAGTATGCATTTATTCATACGTTACTCGTTTTGCTAAAGGACAGGTAAAATCACAGCTAGAAACAGATTTAAGTGTTGCAAAAATGACTGTCATCTTTCTCAGAACATCAGTTAAGAGAAAGAAGCAGACTTAGACACTGGAAGAGTGTTTCTAGGTCTTGAAGGCTCCATATTACATAAAATGATCCTTGAAACAGGTTATTTAGAACTTAGTTTCCAGAACTATTATTCTTCGCTCCTACCCCCACTGCCCTCTTCTCATCTTGCTTTTGCCATCATGGCATGGGGGGGTCCTCAATGAGCCTCCTTTCACTCCTGCCATGCACTGCACTGCTGTGGTCCATCTGGGTGGGAGACATGTCCCCACCCTCTACTGCCAAATGTTCTCCTTGTGCTTACGTCTCTGTTGCAACCTGATTTTGTTTCCCTGCTGTACAGCTTGGGGTTCCCCACTGCTAGTCTGGAGGGTTATCAAATATCTTCAGCCAAAGAGCCTAATCGTCCTTTCTCCAATCCTTTTGTTTGTGTGTGTGTGCATTTTTCTTTCAGTGATCTGTGTGCAGGCTTGATTGGGGGTCTTGGTGTGACTCCAAGTGGGAATATTGGTGCTAACGGAGTTGCAATCTTTGAATCGGTAAGGTCTTGACTGTGAAGTGGACTTGAACCTTGTTAGACCCTCAACGCCATGAACTTTTGGGTTTGCTCCTGGACTTGCTATGAAAACAAAACTGTCTTTGTGACAGCTGTTGCCTCTTATTCGCCCTAAAGCAGTGTTTCCCAGCCTCAGCAACTTTGAGATGTGTGGACTCCAACTCCCAGAATTCCCCACTGCCCTAAAGAGAGGATGGCACTAAGCCACCAAGGTTGGGAAGGATCTGCTTGGATAAGTCACACACTGCCCAGGATCTCTGCAAAACGGAGAAGCCGTTATCGTGAGGCCTAGTGAAGTCATTGGTCTGGCACAGGGGTTGACTTATGAACTTTATCATGGCAACAGAGAGGGCATTGCTAGAAGTAGCTACTTCACTTATAGCTTTGCAAAAAATTTTCAGATCAAAATGTGCCAGCTCCAGAACATCCTGTTCCAACCGCACTGGAAATGTTCTGCCACCATTCCAACTTAATTGAAAATGTTCCACCCTCAAAACCAACTGTTTTGCTCTCTGTTATGCAGCCAGAAAAGTGGGGCAATGCAGGGTCTGAGCATTTTAACTTTGAGATATTTTGCATGCTTCTGTTTTAACTAAAGAGTATTGTTGAATATGTCCTCTAGATGTGATTTTGCACGTTGTGTAAACCCAACTCATTGTAGTGTAATCAACAAACCATGGGCAAAAAATTGTGGTTTAGCATTTCATGTGAATCTGTAGTACCAAATTACCTTTATGAAAAGCCCCAGACTTTAAATGCTGATGCAAGATGTCCATGAAAAATGTGCCGGTCAAGAGCAGTGATTGGTCAGTGGGATGAGAACGCCTTCTCTTTGCAGGTCCACGGGACGGCTCCGGATATTGCCGGAAAAGACTTGGCTAACCCAACGGCGCTTCTCTTGAGTGCCGTGATGATGCTGCGTCACATGGGAATGCAAGATTATGCCACTAAGATAGAAGCCGCGTGCTTCGAGACCATCAAAGATCAGAAGGTATATCTTGCTAAGGTTGATTTTGGGGTTCAGCTGGTGCACATTCTGGGGTTGAGTGCCTATGCGTTTAGGCTTAGGCCTTCTACTTCTGAAGTCCCAGCACTTCCCCACAACTTAGCTAGGCGTTGACTAGATGTCTGTGGTTTATCACCCTTTGCCACTTCTGCTATATAAATGATGATGTTTGCGCTATCAGTTAAGAACAGAGGGTGACAAGATGAAAGAAGTTCCCTCTACTACCAGACTTATAAGCAGAAACTGGGAATTTATTCTGGTTTGCAGTATAAATCTTTTAAAATATGAGTTTTATTTGTGTGTTGCCTATAAATCTGCTGATGGTAGAAAAATTAGATTGGGCAACCTGTTCGTCCCAGAGATAAATGATCTTAAGTTGCAGCCCTGTGCCCAGTTAGCAAAAATTAACCTCCCTTTCCCGATTTCAGGTCTTGACCAAAGATTTGGGAGGTAACGCCAAGTGTTCAGAGTTCACAGCAGAGATCTGCCGCAGAGTAACAGCAATGGAATAAAAGTCTGCTCTATGTCCTTCTGGTTTCAGCCACTCCTAAAGGATGCTTTTACTAAAGCACGTTATTTATTACATGTCAAATCCATTTCCTTTCTTCTTCTAGAAATAAACTCCTTTCCATTTCTATTGCTTGAAATAATGAAATTGTTAGCTACCTTGCATTTCAAACCCTTCTACTTACCAGAAGCGCTCCATAAACTGAAGTATAATTTTTCTCACCCCAACGGTTAGAAGACACTCCTCAGGCTGTCCTTAAGCAGCTTCTTGGCCTTAAAATAGCACAAGATAATTTTTCCCTTGAAAAGAGACCTTTTTCATCACTCCCTCCTGGAACCTGCCCTTCCAAAGCGCAAAGACTTGAAACAATGGCAATTTCAACTATTGTACATAAAATATAAAGTATCCAGATTTTAAGGGCAGAAGGAATACCATTAAATGGTAGAACTTAACCACACGTCCTGTTAGGGCTTTAGTATTTTTTTACACATCATTCCTTGGTCGCTCTAGCATTTTCCAGCGCAGATCAGTTCTACAGATTGCCTTTGTCCGCTGCTGATTATGAAGGGAACGCTAATGCTTTTTTTATCTTTATTTGTCTCAGTGAATACCAAATATATATTTTGCAATTACTACTGTATCTGCAAGCGTATCGTGGTTGGAGTTGATATAGCTTTGGGTTATATTTAAATGTGCTACTCTGCAATTAATGGGTTTCAAAGCACTACAATAAAAGATGAATAAGAAATGTATCTAGGGGAGGACTAGACTACATGTGGAGGACGCTGACTGCCGCTTCAATTCATCTTCGTTCCAAGTGATGTGTGTGAAATCAAAACGCATGCTATGGCGTAACTAAGCTGGGAGTTTTCTCCATCACGCAGGAGAATGAAATGTCCTAGGAGGGGAATCTGACTTGGAGTTGTGGGAACAGACGGTGGAGGAGAGGAGTTGCAGAGATGCTGGTTTTGAAAGCATCAATAAGTCTCCTGCCAGGTCCACTTCCAGTCTTTCCAAAAGGAAATGTGGGGTATGTCTTGCTTTTCCCTGGGAATTCTTGGAAGTCCTGTTGTGTAGTACTATACGCTGTGGTGCAAACCTTTAGAACGTCTTGCAATAATTCCATGCCCAGCTTGTTACCTGTGGCACATTCCCATTCAGTTTCCAAGGTGCAGATGTGACCTACAGCAGGACTACCCATCAGACCAAGCCTGCTTACCTTGCTTGGTGTGTGTGTGTCTTGTTTTTGTTTTTTTGAGGGGGGTTTCATTCACATTGAAATCAAACCTGCAGAACTGCTTGCATTGCTACTAAGAATTCCCGTTCAGTACCCTAATCAATCAGAAAAGTAGCCATGAGAGAGCGAGCTTATTCTGTGTTTGATTCCGCGCCCTGTTTAATGCAGTAACTTTCATATGCCAGTACAGGCTCCAAATCTGGGAAACAGTCTTCTCCTAGTTCAGAATGTACGTTTTGGCGGCGGCGGCTGTCTGTCCACCTGTACCAAGTGAGCGGGGCTACCATTGTATGCATAATGAGAGGAAAATAAAAGACTTTACAAAGACATCTCTTGCTTTTGCTCTTTTAATAAGCTTTAAATGCTCCAGCCATCCAGTTTGCATTTCCCTCTAACCTCAGCAGAGTCCCAGACTGATTCTCGAAAAGGCATTAAGGCTAAGCTGTGTATTTGGGTAACAAACAGAAGTTTAGTCATGAAACATGGAAAGTCTTCAAAATTCTCAATAAAAACTAAGGCTAGAAAAAAGAGGTCTGGAATCTTGGAGAATTGTTGAATAAAAATTCATCGTCATCTGTCTGGAATCATGGAATATGGCAGTATAAAAATCTTGTAATAAACACATCAGCGCTGTGGACCAATTATTTTGGTTCACTGCAGAGAGTTTCATAGGTGTATTTTGGTGTACCTATGAAACTTTTCTGTCAATGTTTGCTTATATGAAATGGAAAGCTTTATAATGTAACCTATATTTTTTTCAGAGCTGGCTTAAACATGACCTACATCCATGCAGTTAAATTTTTGTTGTTTAGTCGTTAAGTCGTGTCCGACTCTTCGTGACATGCAGTTAAATAGTTCCCAAGAAATTTAGATTACATCAAGATACACAGTTTGATTTAAAAGTATTTTCAAGGGACAGCTTAATAGATCATTCCATTTCTAGTCCATATAAATACTGTAGAATAAAAGTCTACATTAACTGGAATGTATTTTGGAGTTCTGATTTGGTCTTTCTGGTTGCTAAAGTGAAAATAATATTGAGAAGTAATAGACCAGAGTCCAAAGATGCTTTCAGCCCCAATTGCAAAAGCTATTCATATATTTTCAAAGTAATGTTTGCATAGGAATATGATGGTCTTCAAGCAATGGTCTTCTACAGAAGAAGCTGGCAGAATTTCTCGTCCTGACAGAAACTTTAATCCTTGTAAAAAGCCTCAATTTCATTTTTGTACTTCTTAACAACAGTTTGCCGCTTTAATTTCATTGTCGGACCTAAAATGGAAGGGAATCGGTCATTAGCAGGTATTCTTGGGGTAAGGATGGAATCGATAAAATGGTAGGTGGACTCAATTCAGGTTGTACAACTTTGGAGGTTTACATCCAGAAGAAATCTTGAGAAGTTGAGTTCAATTTACGCAATTTTGCCACCTGAGCAAAGGGTGGTTCCTCCGCTTTTTTAAAAACTTAAAAATGAAAAAGCTGCTTTTTAATGCCCCAAATATATGTTTGCCAAATTGTTTACCTAAACAGGGAGAACATTTTTTAGCTCTGTTCTTTTTTTTCCCCAAAAAGCTGCTTTTACTTCCATCTTCAGATGAAAAAGTGGGCATCTTCACCCCCATTGGTTTTAGAAATATAGCAGACACTGGCAGACAATAATCAAACGGCCACATCGTTGTAGTTGCTGAGTTATATAGAAAGTATGGGCTTGCTCAGGATAGAAAACCTGAGCTGGGGGTCTCTGACTCATCTAGACCAACCTGGACTTGAATTGTTCATTGCAACTATATAAAGCAGTTTCAAATATTTGCCATTGGAAGGTTGGCAAAGTCTTCTTTTTCATTTGGGCTCTGCTTCAGAAAGCAGTCATCTTCCTAACAACCTACATGGGAATTAGCCCTCCCGACAAAATTCAGGGTAAACTCACCAAATTCTCCACCAGAAATAGAGAAATCTTTTCCTAGGATCGTCCACTTCTGAATGCGCTGAGCGTTGCTAACAGAGCGCCTGTTGACACGGTCTATGCCATCTTGCACAGCCCGGTAAATGGCGTGGTCTCTTGTGTGTACAATCTCAGACACCCGTGTGGCTTTGCTTCCAGCTTTTTGGCAGAAGTCTCTGGCTTCCTGGGTCAGGCAGTCGGTTGGTTCAGATGTATCAGGATCCACTGAACACTGAACAAAAACATTACAGCTGTTTTAGCTCAGTAAAATAAGCCAGATTAATGGCACTGAAAGAGAACCTGTAGGATTTTAAATAGAGATTTCCAGCCACATAGTATTTAAAAATGTCGGTGATAGAACCTTCAGGTTGAATTATACCAGCATCCTACATTTTAAGAAATATTTCTTACATAGGAACGTAGTCTTATACAGAAACCATTATGTATTGGTTTTAATTGCATTTATATCCCACCTTTTCTTCTGAGAGCTACAAATACAGGAGAGTGATAATTTTATCCCAGAATAACAACCCACTGGAATCCATTGAGCTGAGAGACAGCGATTGACCCAAAACCACTTGAACCCAGTCTCTCTCTAACCTTTAACCAGTCTGCCCCACTGGTTTAATTCATCTAACTTCAGACCGCCTTCATTACAGAGGTAAGAGAAGCTCTCCTGGTTTTTAGCCCCTACTATGCAGTATTTTATAAACTTCCATCACATCTTTGTCCACCCCAAAGTAATGTCCAGGGCTTTCACTGTGTGCTGGTTATGTTCAAACAACACATTTAACCAAGTCAAGCAAAAATCTAGTGTTTGCACATTCAAAAAAACTCAAAGCTTGGTTAACCTGGGTTTGATATTTGTGTCCCTAGCCCAGTTGACTGAAATTGGATGCAAGACATTGCGTGAATCCAAAATGGGGTGAAATCTGTCATCACATCAAGGCAGCCACGGAAAACGCCCAAGTTTCAAACTTGCATCTGAGAATCAGCCTCAAAACATTTACCATATTTTCATGATGTACCTTTAAGGTCAGCAACATAGACAAGAACTTCTTCTGATCTCCAATCAACACAACATTGCTAATTAGTGGGAGCTCCTTCTTGACAGCTTCTTCCAGGGGGATGGGGGGGATATTTTCACCCCCAGCTGTAATAATGAGCTCTAAGAAGACAGAACCTGAATGTCAATGTTCGGCCAAAAATACGTCTTGTCATTATACTAGGCTTCCATCTGTGACAGAGAAGATACAATAGCATGCTCTATGGCCCCCTTGGCATTTTCAGTAAGACCTCAGTCTAATGGACCAACTAGGGCAGAGGTGTCCTCTCCTCTCGAATGTCCATTAAATCTCAAATTGTGTCAACTGAATAATGATGCCATTTGCATCCATCTGTGTAAGATGCAAATCACATGAATGAACACAAATGACTACGTTTGCATCCACATCAAGGCACAAAAGATGTAAAGCAGTGCAAATGATGTAAAATTAAATGTAAATGCCTCAACCTAGCTATTTTTGGGTGCAGCAGGCTTGTATCCAGACGGAAATTTGATCAGTTGCATGCAAAATCTCCTAAGTGGTCCATTTAAACTGAAGGTTTGCTGTTCTCTCAAAGGGGATCATCCAGGATCTCTTGGCCATTCTACGTACAGGAAACTGTCCAATCCAGCTCACCCAACATCATCTATTTCAGCAAAGACTATCCTGCAGTTTAGGAAGCACTGTTTGTCCTTGCTGCTAATTGTCCCTCATAGCTGAAACCTAAGCACTACCATCAAGCAAGAATCCCCCCAAGTTGTGCTGGGCCTCAAGGAATGCAGACAGATTCTTGGGAAACTTCTGCAAAATGACCGAAAGAGGGCAGCCTCAATCAATGCTGAAGCTTGAAACTTGGTATGAATGTACTGGACAGGCCCACCTGAGTACTGAACAACCTGGACAGCTGAAAGGAAATGAAGTAGGGCAAGGCAATCTCCTGGTGTTTGAGACTAAAGCTCCAGCCAATCTGGCCAATGGCCAAGAAGCATGGAAGCTGTCATCCAAAACATCTGGAGAACCTCAGGCTCTACAAAATACACAAAAGAAGGCACCACCTTTAATCCTTCCAGTGATATAAAGAAACCCATCCTTGTCCATCTTTCCAAGATCTCCAGAGTGCAACCAGCCATCTTGGTCAATCGCTTCCCTGGTCTTGTCCTCCATGTTCAAATAGCCCATGAAGACTGTCCGTCCCCAAAAGCAAATCTCCCCATTGCCATGTTCATCTTCATTCACTATCTTAACAAGGCAGCCCGGGACAGCCTTGCCACAGCTGCAAGAAAAGGATATATAGCAAAAGCAACAGTTTCAACACAATGCTGAGAAGACATGAGCATTGCCTCTTCCTGGAGCAGGCCTGGAGTTGCCATAAGGATGACCAGGTGAGGCCAGGGCCAAGCACCCTTGGAGAGTCTTTTTTAAATTGCAATTGTACCTTTGCTTAATTTTAAAATACCGGAGCTCTGGCACTCAGCAGCTTCCAGATCCATCACAAAGATGTCCCCAATATTCCCAAAGGGAAATGGTCCTAGAAACATGGGAAAGCCCCTGTGCCTTTCCTCCAGTCTTACTCTAGAGTATCCAAGCAATTCCAAAAGTTCCAGAATTCTTCATGGGATTTCATAGTGGGCTTCACAGGGTTATTAAATGAACCCAACACTTATTTGCTAGTACATTAACCATAAATAAACCAAGCAAGTTGGGAACAAGACCCTGAGCCACAAATAAGCGCAATTGAAATGAAAACTCGCCACACACATTGTGGAAATGCAGCTGCACAGTCTTTAATTGCAAAGTGTAGCCCAGGAGTCTGATGTAAAGGACTGAACACTCATAGGATAGCCAGAATATTTCTTGAAGCTACATTTCACATTCACACATAGAGCGTAAATGCCAGTGAGGGAAGGGAAACAATCCAAAACGTTTTCTCCCACCCTTATCTTTGGAGATGGCCCCAGCCCAGTCTGCTATCCTCACTTGCAAGCTAAATTTCAAGGTTTCTTTGGGGAAGTTCCTAAGGAGAATACACTGGAGCTTTACCTGTTAGGTCGATAAGTGTGTGGCCCAGACGTGCAATGGGGACCACTGGTTTCGCTCATCCCGTACGCTTCGTAAAGGGGGATGTTCAGGCCAAGGAAGAACTGCGATACTTCCACAGGGAGAGGGGCAGCTCCACTGAAATGCTTCTGACACTGGGAAAGGCCTAGGGCACAGCGGATCTTAGCGAGGAGCAAAGAGTCCACCAACCTCATCCAAAAGGGCTCTGAAACACTACAAGATGCAAAACAGGACAGTCAGATGGCCCAAGGTATAATTTGGAGGAGAAAAGTGACCCTTTTTGAGATTCAGAAAAAGAGACTCAATTTGGACTGAGATGGAGAGAAGAGCAAAGAACATCAGACAAGGAGTCTCAAACAGTAGTCCGAAACAAACCCATTCACGCAAACTCAGTCTCACTGCAGGAATACATTAACCAACCAATTAATCATTTTGCCTATCTCATCCATGTGGCTGAGAAGACAAAGTTGTTTGCAAACCCAGGAAGGGGGCTGTTGAGGTCACCAAAGCCTTGCAAGTTATCTTGCCCAAATTGAAGCGTTTTTGGAACTATAAACTTTCAGTAGGTCTAATGAAGGTATTGCTTCAACTGGGGATTTATGTTTGCTTGCTGTTTGTTGCTTGTAATAGATGGTTAACCCCCTCCCTAAAAACATATCCATACGGGTACGCACCTATTTGAGCAGTTCAGGTTTTGTTCTGCAGTGACCGACATGGCCCAAGACAGCATCTTCTTCTTCAGCAATCCAGTCTGAGAAAAAGCCTCTTTGATCTTCTCCATCATCTTCTCCCACACCCGGGGTACTCCCATATGGGCGGTGGGCAGTGCTTCTCTCAGGACCTCAACCAGGCTTCCCTGTGAAGGCCAAAGACAGGTTCCAAAAGGGAAGATCAAGAGCAAAGGCTCAGTTTGAAGAGTCCAGTTATGCCCATCCAAAGCCGGCTCCCTAGTAAAACAGCTCAGACAAGAAGATCTTGCCTTCACATGGCACATAGTTCAATTGTGGAACTAGTTATTACAAGATAAAGCAATTGCCACTGTCTCACATGGCTTTAAAAGGGGGTTAGGTTGAAAGGAGAGGTATCATTTTGTAGTTACCAAATATCTTCTCAAAAAGCATTCCCTGTGTTTTGCAGGGCTTTAGAAACTTAAAAAAAAAAAAAAAATCTGGCCAGCAGCTGTCAGATGAAAGAAAATCACAAAAAGACCCCTTTTAATCACCTGCAGTAATCTAAAAAGATATTACCTCTCTATGAGATTTTAATCAATCTTACCACCATTGGGGCTGGTTAATTACAAAATGCTGAAGAGCTGAATCAGGCTGTCACCTATAAAGTATATCAACCCTATTTTTCCCTTATTATTTCTCTAAGGGAGTCCCAGAAGCCTCTCCTATCCCATCTTGGTGAGAAGTACAGAAAACAAATTTGGCCCCAAACCCCACAGGGAGACCTTCAAAGCATCCGGTTCTGCAAAATAAACCTCTTCGCCCCACTTGACTCCAGTCCAGAGATCGTATATTTGGGCAGCAATATGGCTCAAGGGGAGGTAACTGACAATCCTTTCCTGCTGGATTTCAGCGGGTTGCATATCTCCTGCTCGACTGGCATGCGCGGCTGTCCAGGTTATCTGTCCGGATTAAAAAAAATGCAAAGAAGTAAAGTCCTGAGGCAAGGGCGTGTGTGTGTTTTTAATACCCCCTGGTCACATTAGCTCCCTTCAGCTCCTTTCCCTCCAAAATTCTCCTCGAGGATAGCTGTGGTTTCTTAACAGGATAAAGAAGTTTTCGCTCATTTTCCTTGTGCCTCTCAATTCTTTTTTTACATCCTTTCTGCTGTAAACCCCCTTTGACAGGAATGGGTAGCTCAAAAGCCCTCCTAGACAATGGCTTTGCTTAAGCTTCCTTCCATGAACTTCTCCTCGGGTTTATACAGTATTTCGATCCAGAGTCACTTTACAGGGATGGCTTCAAATTCTGGCTGAGCGAGAACAAGGTTGCACCTGTCCCCAGCCGACTCGGCGGCCCAGCGGAATTTGCCCTACGTGGATGGAAACTCCCCTCCTGGGCTTTCTGTGGCCAGGCCTGGGGGCAGCTGCTTGTATCATATCATTCCAACCCCCCCCCCCCCCCCCCCCA